GAGGAGAAAAAAGAGAGACTGTTAGATGAGTATGAAACCACGCTGAAAGAGTCAAAGAGGAGCAAATAGCACCACAAATAGCCTGAATACTACGTGAGATTTGTCTCTCATCAGCTGGGGAGAAAAAGTGAAAGTGAGGATTTGAAAGACCCGCGGAAGAAGTTCGCCGATCGATCGCGGCTCGTTGGCCCGTTGTTCACAAGTGTTGTCAGTTTGGAGAACTGTCATATATTGCTGTCATCTGGATCGCGGTCATTTGGATTGCTGTCATTTGGATCGCTGTCATCTGGATCGCTGTCATCTGGATCGCTGTCAACTGGATCGCTGTCATCTGGATCGCTGGCATCTGGATCGCTGTCAACTGGATCGCTGTCATCTGGATCGCTGGCATCTGGTTTGCTGTCATCTGGATCAAGGTCATCTTCATCTGAGGTATCTTGTTTAATTTTATTTGTGCTCAGGAGAGTGAAGAGGCCATTTTCATTTTCCCGGCCACAACGTACACTAGCAGCGATACAGGCCTGCAACGGGGGGTGTATGAATGTGTGAGGGTGTGGGCCCACAAGAGTTTTGAGTTGTTTATGGAGATGCAGTGAGCATAAAATACTGCTGCGTGTTTTACAGTATAGATTTATACTAATAGTTTATATAGGTGTAATTCAGTGTGTAATTTAGTGACACAATTTGTAGCCACTTTCAAAGAGAAACATATTCAGTTATATTAGTCACTTGTTGATTTATAAGTTTAATTGTTAGAGTGTAGAAAGATGGTATTTTTCTATATTGGTTTAATTAATATTCTTCATTGTACTGTACATTGCTGGGTTTGACTTTGGGTCATTGTCTTTTAGCTGTGCATAAATTCTATATTTTGTATTTTGTTTTACATCTGGGGTTTTTCCCAATATTTACATTTCTATTCTAATTAAATTATTTATATTTTCTGATTTATCTAAGAGTTTTATTATTCACAGAGTTTATTTCTGGTAATTTATTCAAACACAGCAAATATTTATATTCTCATCTGCCTTATTTACATTACGTCATTGAAATATATCAGAGGGGCCTACTTCAACATATCTGTAGGCGTTTAGTGTATTGAACCTAGAGCGCTATCTTAAACTTAATACACCTAGGTGGCGCTACACATATATATATATATATATACATATATATATATATATAAAACTGGTTATGTTCCAAGAAAACAGACAAAATGAAAAGAAATAACCTGCCATTTAGTTTTGTTTTATCTTGTGAAATGTTGCTTACACATAAAAGGGGATATATGGGTGGAATAAAAAATGTGTCGCCATCCTCTAAATTGTTCTTGTATGTTGTCTTCATCTTTAGTCTTCACAAGTGAGGCTGGCCCAAACCAGGACTGCAGTAGCCAAATCTAATCCTTGTAGTAGGAACCCTTAAATAAAGCAAGAAACCAAAAGGAGAAAGATTAGCATTGCAGCAGTTCATATTACCACAAATATATATTATTTTTTTCATGACACATAACTGGAGTATGTGTTATGCAAGTGCCTAGCTTAAATGTGTCATTTAATTTAAACTTAAAGAGTGTGTCTGAGCACTAATTTTCAGAAAAGCCATTTGAAAGTTAAATTCCTTGTGAAATCATAATGAATGTTTTTTTTTTTTTTTGGTTTTAGTATCATTGTGTTAGTATAAATGTGTATCTAAATATATATCTAATCTTCAGATACCACATTACATGCAAATTAAACTAAGTTTCGTCAACTAAAATGTCACACTGTACACTACATTTATCAATCATAGCTAGGGCCAGGAGGAATCTGCAGATGTTTTTTGCTATTTCTGCTGAAAATTTTGGTGGAAGTCTGCGGATTTCTGCGGAATTATTTTGGGAGTATCATAACTAAAACCTTAATATATGAAATAAAAAAATATTATATTTTCAAGTTTTATTTAATGTTTAAAATGCAAATCCAATTTCCAAATCCAAAATCCAATTCACTTTATTTGGTAAATAAAGCAAGTTTTCCATATAACATATCTAGTAAGACAGAAAATATTACTGTACAAACCTCATTGTACATAAATCAGATGAACATTTTCACATTAGTCAATAATATTACTGAAATTAATTTAAAAACTGAATAAATATAGATTTACACACATTTACTCAAGAAAATAAACAGAATTAATGATAGGCTAAACATCTGCGGAGTTCTGCGAAAAATCCGGGTGGGCCTAATCATAGCTTTATTTCTGCTACAAAAAGGTTTTTCAGCAAACAACTTCTATTATATGTAGGCTATAGAGGAGGATATATAAAGAAAATATATATTCAACTCTCTAATTAAATGCACCTGATGCAGATATTCAAGTCTTTTAGGCTTATTTGAAAACTTAAATGACGTGTTGGACCACAGTTGGACAACGCTCAGTGAGAATACTTTTTTGCACAAATTCTTTTTGTTCTAAAGAAACATGTCTGATTGCTAGCAATCATCAAAGAGCAAACTTTTTTTTTTTTTCAAATAAATACTATGCTCTTAAAAATAAACTTTTCATACATCAAGAATACTAAAAATATGTTTATTTAAAATGTTTTGTTTTAAAAAAAACAGCTTGAGGAAAGAATCAGTACATTGGAATACTATTTTTTCAGAAGGATCATGTGACACTATTAATTATATACATTGTATTAAATTCACAGTATTACTGCTTGACTGTATTAATTAAATAAAGCTGACACTATCAGAAGAGAATTTACCATACCGACCTAAAAGCTATGAAACAGTAGTGTATGTTTAGGATGTTACTTTCTAGTCCTATTGTACTTTGGAGAGGTTGTCTGACAGGAGGATCCCTTCAACTCAGCAGAATTCTCAGCAGACCATCAGCATACACCAATCTAAGAATAAAATAAGCAATTTGTTAAAAACCAAAAATATATATATTTTATATTTCCAGGTTTATAGGAAAGAAGAAAGCTAAAGCAGATTTAATATGTAGAAAAAAAATAAAACCTATTGACAATTTCATGGCACAACATACCCCAAACTAAGCAATCTCAAATGGTTAATTTACATAAATGACAACTGCTGCTCATTATATCAATATTAACTGTTAAGGATTCATTCATTTATTTTCTTTTGGGCTTAGTCCCTTTATTAATCTGGGGTCGCCACAGCGGAATGAAAGGCCAACTTATCCAGCATATGTTTTACACAGCAGATGCCCTTCCAGCTGCAACCAATACACACTCATTCACACACACTTATACACTATGGTCAATTTTAGCATACCCAATTCACCTATGTCTTTGGACTTGGGAAAACCAGAGCACCCGGAGGAAACCCACGATAACACGGGGAGAGCATGCAAACTTCACACAGAAATGCCAACTGACCCAGCCGAAGCTCGAAGCAGCGACCTTCTTGCTGTGAGGCAAACGTGCTACCCGCTGCGCCACCGTGCTGCCCTGTTAAGGAATCAGATTAATATAAATGAATTGACATGTTTATTTAGTGTCTGACACATTAAATATTGCATTTTTAAATATTGTTTCATTTTAAGATTTATTTCAGAATTAACTATAGAACCTGGATATATCGTCACATTTTCATGCACAGCAGCATTTCCAAGAACATAAAAACAGCTACTTTTTCCCCATTGAACACAATATGTTTTATTTTAAGAAACATTTAAAATATTTTGTAACAGTAAACATGCCAGGCTAAATAATAATTTAATAAAATAGTACTATCTTCATTAGACTCCAAAACACTGGTTTCTTGTGAAGGCATAATAAGCTATTTGTTTTTCAGATGTTTGCTGAATCGTGAGCTGACCAGTAGCTTTTGATGTGGAGGGTCTTTTGCTGCTGTAGATAATGTTGGACTATTTTTTAAGTCTTTGATAAAGCGCTAAAAACCATATACAATGCATCCGGAAAGTATTGATAGCGCTTCACTTTTTCCACATTTTTAATGTTTCAGTTTTATTTCAAAATGGATTAAATTCATTAATTTCCTCAAAATTCTACACACAATCCCCATAATGTGTGTTGACACGATTTTAGTTAATCATTTACAAGTCAATATTGCCTATATGGATTGTGATTTAAAAAAAAATTAACATGTAAAATTGCAGTGTTAAATGCAATGCCATCAAACATTTTAGACGCACCAGAGCAAAAAGCTAGTCTAGAGCACTTGGAATGCTGGTGTAGTTCTAGTTAAATTTAGTTCAGTTAAAGCTGTATATGCAGCCGGTCTCAAGTATAGGATTTAGTATTTAACTAATCTTAACAACGAAACATTTACGAGTCTGTATTAGCCAGCTCATGTACTACAATGTAACAGACACTGTATATTGCCACCTTGATACTTAAGCTTTCTTTAAAATATTTTGTGTTCAACAGATTAATTAATTCTTTCATTTATTTTTTTCAGTGCAATAGTATAGCTTACACTGGTGTATTTGTATGGACCCCCCAAAATAGCAGAGGCCACTTTCTGGCCACCCAAGTATAAACTTCTAGCCTAGCCACTATGAACTACCTGTCTGTCCTGCTCCAGAACTCTTTGTCGGCTGCTTGTATGTCTGGATACAGCTGCACAAGTCTTTTAACACTGACAAATACAGCCTCTGCACATCCTCACAACCAAGAGAACAGAATGATCAGGAGAACCTGAAAAATATAACTAACTGAAATCAGTTGAAATGTATTTTGTCTTGTGATGATGACACAAAAATATATCTTTTTTCACAAAGGATGTGCTGTTACCTATGAAACGGTCTATAATGAATGATCTGTTGATCCTGTTTCCTTGATGTCATTCACTCAGAGATGGTTTGGACATTTGATTGTATCTAAACTGTAATGAATTTAAGTTACAAAAACATTGATAGCAGGACCATTGATCTTGTAACTTATACAAATTGTTAAGTATTGAACAAGTCTGCAACCAAACTAGTCAAGTTAATAATACTAATCTCAACTATGATGAGTTGTCTTGTTTCTGCTGCCCAGACGGTCTCTCCACCTGCTGAAAAAAAAGGAAAAAGTATGGTATTTTTACAACAATGAAACTGCAAACAACTTAACTATAAGGGGGTAAGCAGTGAGCATCTTTTATTATAAGCAATTTACTGAATACTTTGTCACTGGTATTACCTAAAAACCAAACGTCCCAAGTTTGGCTCATAGCTGTCCACACATCTGCCCAGTAGCTTGTGGTAATACTGAAGACACTGATCATCTGGTCCAACTGAGTTTAGAGTTGAACTGCAATCAGGCATCCAATACTGCAAAGAAAGAGAAACTCACTTTGGGTTAACAAATAATGTAATGCCACACATTTCAAGTAATTGTGCAGTTAATTCTCTTAAAATGAATGAATGAATTCTCTTATTGAATTTTCTGAGAGCTTATGAATATATTTTGTCTTCCCAAAATAGCATGTACTGAAACGCAACATTATATAAATATAATTTAGTAAGAGCGTGACGTGGTGGCACAATAGGTAGTGCTGTCGCCTTACAGCAAGGATGCTGACTCGAGCCTCGGCTGGATCAGCTGGCATTTCTGTGTGGAGTTTGCAAATTCTCTTTGCGTTTGCGTGGGTTTTCTCTGGGTGCTCCGGTTTTGCCTACAAGTCCAAAGACATGGGGTACAGGTGAATTGGGTAGGCTAAATTGTCTGTAGTGTATGAGTGAGAATAAGCGTATATGGTTGTTTCCCAGTGATGGGTTGCAGCTGGAAGGGCATCCACTGCATAAAACATATGCTGGATTAGTTGACAGTTCATTCCGCTGTGGTTACCCCAGATTAATAAAGGGACTAAGCAGAAAAGAAAATGAATGAATGAATTTAATAAGAGTTAAACTGACCTGTTAACATGTCTGTCAGGAGCTGATCTACCTGATAATAAATTTTTTGCTTAATTTTTTTAACAGGTAAATCAATACTATATATATATATATTTGTACAAAAAATGGTTCCAGTAGTAACGCTCCTTAAAGTTAAACTACATATTCACATTCCTCATCTGTCTACTGTTACATTATACTAATCACTGTTACATACAGTGGCCGAGAGTGCAAAGAGAGTAATAAAACACAGACAAAGAAGACAGCTTTGTCACTTTTTCTATGCTATTTGTGAGATTGTGTATGTTGTCAAACTGATGAAAATGTTTTCTCAATTTACTTTAACATTTTTGTGTTTGTGTTTTTATAACTTGCAGCCGTTGTTAAATTTAAAAGTATTTTAAACAAGGATGGACATCTAAATGGATATAGGGCACATATCTCAAAACATTATGAAATATTTACAGATAAATCAATTTTGAATTAAAATGTATATTCATCTTCAGACTTGCATCTCCCTGATTTTTTTCAAAGAACGGCCCCTCGTTTGCTCATCACTGTTTGACAAGTGTCTGGCAGTCAGTCAAAAATATACTTACATATAAAGATGTTCATCAGCTACACGGCACTTAGGTTAAACTTTGACCTCCTTTTCAGTTGATGTGGAAAACAAAAGCAAAAGAAAGAAAAAACAAAACGACTGAATACAAGTTGCATATCATGCCTGTACAAATCAAAATGTATTCATTTAGGGCTTAAATTGACTTGTTTGAGGATGAGTTAAGGTGTAAGGGATGGGTGAACGGTGTAAATATACATGTAATTCATAGCTATGATGTAAAGCTGAATTTTCAGCATCATTACTCAAGTCTTCAGTGTCACTTGATCTTTCAGAAATCTTTTTTTAAGATGTTGATTTTGTGCTTGAGGTTGAACTAATATAATGGTGATTATCAAATGGTGCTGATTTGCTGCTCAAGAAACATTTCTGATTGCTATCAATGCTAAAAACAGATGTGATGACAAATAATTTAGTGTAAACTTTTTTTCTAATATTTTATAAATCAATTAATCATAGAAAAATTAAACAAAATGAAAATTACAAATATTACTTCATTAGCAGCAAATCTGCATATTTATTAAGTTCTGAAGAATCATGTGATGTGAAATTTAATACCACTCACATGTTTCAATGTCAAAACCTTCTTATAATAACTGCAATAAAGACAAGTAACAGATGCATAATATATAGACATGTAACGTGTGCATAATGATGTGCAATGGAAATTCATATGAATTAATCCTCTGCTTAAAGTTACCTGTCTTTCCTGCATCTCTGATCAGCTCTCTTCAGAAATTTAGGAATCTTGTGTTATATTTTCTGTAGCAGGGGTTATTCTCTCACTCCTGAAACCACAGAACACTTTTTTACTTAACATTTGTTTAAGATACCATGAAATATCAAAACACGATTGAACTTTTGATTCACGGTCCTTTACAGTACAATTCGTATTTTAGACTACATATGGAGTGCATTCAATAAAACATTGACAAAACCTCTCATCTACACATAAAGAATAAATAAAAGCCAAAACTTTAACAAACAAGTTTAACAAGAGCTAACATTAAGTAAGTTAACGTAATATTACCCCGACGCTAACGTTACCAGTGCTAATATGCTAACGGACTTTTACGAAGACTTACCCCAGCCGGCATTTCAACGGTGATTCAACGTTGAATCAACGTCAGGTCTATGGTTGGATCAACGTTGAATTACCTTTCGATTTTGCAAATTGGATCAACGTTTATATAGTGACGTTGTTTCACCGTCGGACCACCACCGGTGATTCACCGTTGAAATCACAACGTTGTTTCACTCTTACCTTTTTCATGGGTGAATTATGGTCGTTTTGTAGACGTTGAATGAAGGTTGAATTACCTTTCGATTTTGCAAATTGGATCAACGTTGATACCATGACGTTGTTTCACCGTCATACATTTCAACGTAAGTTAAATAGGAATTACATACAACGCAAAGTCCATAAATATAGCAAACAAATTTTTACTAATTAAAAATACACGACACAAATACACAACTTAGCCTGTGTATCAATTTATTTAATACACACCTCATTATTTCAATTATTTTAAATATACAGCAACATTTACAGCATACATAGTTCATTAAAACCATGCAGGTTACTATACATGCTCAAATACAGAAAAAGGCATACAATTAAATAGTCACTTTTTAATTAGGTTTCATGAATTAAAGTTAGTTAATGTTTACTAACATGAACAAAGAACAAATACTTGTACAGCATTTATTATTTAATCAAAATGCATGCTTGTTAACATTAATGCACTGAGCTGACATGAACTGTACTTTCTTTATATGAAAGATGCTTCATTGTTCTTTGTTCATGTTAGTAAATACATTAACACTTACTAATACAACCTTATTGTAAAGTGTTACCGTCTTCAGAAAGAAAGATACTAACTGAATTAAACTAATTAACTAAACTACGCTTCAACCATCACAGTCTCCAAAATACAATTCCGTTTACAAAGTTTACAAAATACCCATTTTTAAAGTGGCTGCAGTAAAAAAATAAAAAACATCACTCACAACTAAGAATCACAAGTGAAATACATTACATCTGTTTGAGGTTTTATAGGTTGAGAGAAAAACTTGAGGTAAAAGATGGCACTGGGACAAAGAATCAAGTGTAAAACACTTAAACATCTATATCAGTCTAGCAGTTAAATACATATTTATTTCTCAAACACCAGGTGAGTTTGCTACAAAATCAATAATGAGGTTTGCTATTCCAATTCATTGTGAATGAATGGCTTCACTTTCACAATAGTGAAAACTCATGCTATAATCTAAACCTGACATTACTCCTTCTCTTTGCAGGTCTGCATGCTAAATATTCAGTAGTTTTTTTTTTTTTTGGTTTGTTTTTTTCATAAAGTACATCTATTGTGTTTAGCATTACTGCAGCAAAACTGAGCACCTGTGACAGTGGAACATGTAGACAAATATTTCAGTAAATCATCATGAAAATGTGTAGAATATATGGTTTGATTCTCTCTCACAAACACAACAGTAAAAGCAATTTGTTATTCCATTATTATTAGTATCATAAAAATTGCATGTTCACATGGGTCTTATAATAATGGCTCACATTTGTGAATGTAGGACCACTATTTCACTATTACATGTCACATTAACTGTTCATATAGGTTCTGTTATTAATTACTTGTGTCATCCCAGAGACCTGTTAATCTTCAGAACACAAACTAAAATATTTTAGATTAAATGTTCCTTATCCTCTACAGACAGCAATAGTCCCAAGATAATCATTGTCAAGATAAGGCACAAAACACATTGTCAAAACATTCCATGTGACTTCAGTGATTTCAACTGTGAACATACCAAGCTCCAACAACACTTTAGTGAGGCAAAACAAAACAGTAAATACAAATGTGTTTGCGTATATATGACCTGTTGTGGCAAAGGCAAACAAGTTATTTTTACAGTACTTACTGCGATTTAACCTTTATGACAAATGTACTGGACCTGTTACACATATCTTTTATGAACACAAATTTCACTGTAACGGATGCTGTTGTTTTGCTCCAGTTATACCTTTAGAGAACACCGTACTAGTCAGACATCCATACAAAAGCAGAGAGTTTGGTCTTGTGTAGCAGAACTGCAATAGATGTCTGTCTGTCTGTCTGTCTAGGCTGACACTGGTTTAGGCTATCAGTATGTCCTTGATGAACTCAAATGGAGCTTCCAGAAAACCTGCAATAAATGAAATATGAGGTTACAACTAAGTTGGTATCTGCTATTATACAAAGTGAAATTCAAATATGTATTTTTTATTGAATCCAAATTTGTCCTATAATATCGTCACACTCAATAATTTTGACTCATCCATCTAAATATTCCTAACTAAGAGAAGTGAAGAATTAGGTGTGATATCGTCAGGAAGCCCTTCGCCACCACCGGTACCAGCATTTTCAGAATTCAAATTTCAGATTCTCAAAAAAAATTACTTTTTTTTTTTTTTAACAAAGGCTGCAGTAAAGAATCATGAAACATTCAACACATCTAATAATTACAAGTTGTTGTAAACCCTTACATGTACTGTAAAAGCTGAAGCTTTTTAGATATATGGTTGAGAAAAACTCTAGAAGGAGTAGCACTTCTACAAAAGTCTTCATGTAGGACAGAGAATTAAAGGGATAGTTCAAAATGTTTATTCTGTTGTCATTTACTGACCACGTTGAACACAAAAGATATTTTGAAGAAAGCTGCAAATCTATAACCATTGACTTCTATAGTATTTTTTTCTACTATGGAGGTCAATGTTTACAGGTTTTTAGTTTTTTTTTTTCAGAATAGCCTCTTCTTTTTGTTCAACAAAATAAACTCATAATGGTTTTAAACCATTTGGGGAGTAAAATGTGAGTAAATTTTCATTCTTGGGTGAACTATCCCTTTCAGTTGGAAAACACCAGAATTCTTAAGT